TACAGCAATAGCAGGTGGATGGCAAAGTTTGCTATATTTGAATCTTCATGTATTTCGAGATGGATGAGAAAAGTCATTTTGTGAAATAATTGGTGTTCCAAAAAATAAGTGATGCCAATTTAAGGTACACTTCTTGTGTATGAAGAAACTAAGTTATGATTCGAGTGAATTTGCGATGCTCTTTTATTTGCAAAATCGTGATGCCTCTTAGTATTGTTTGAGGGGTTACCCCTGGTTTTATTCAGTAAATGATATAAATTTTCATCAAGTTGGTTTTTTTTTTTTTTTTTTTTTTCANTTTATTTTAATGAAACTCTTGAATGCACTATAAACAGTTAGCCAAAAATTTTATGGAGTCATCCGATGGTTTCTTATGGAGCCATCCACCACTTAATGTATTGACACATGTCCAAAGTGTATTTATTGCAGGACACATGTCAATACACTATTGATGAATAAGTGTGGATGACTTCATATGACGAGCTATCCGATGGCTCCATAGCAAAACTGACAATAATTTCTCAATGAACACTATTTGAGTACAATCATTTCACTTCCTTCGCCATAGCTTAGTGAATTCAATAAAATGAGCATACGAACAACTACAGTGATATGAGCGCAAGAATCAAAATCATATGAAATGCTCGTAAAAATAACGTATGTCACAACAAACCTGCACTCCGTATATTTTACCTCATACTAGTTCTAATTCCACACAACATGAGCAATTCATTAATATGCGAGAAATTCTTAAGCATTAGAAATTTTCACCTTTTATGCTAAATGAAGCTAAGCCAACAAGAGGGGACAAATAGCAAATGCAACCTTTGAGGTTTCGTTAATTCATAATATATATAATTAAAAAGAAAAGAAAAAAAAAAAACATAGACAAACCCAGTTGTGTTTCAAACTTACATATACACATAAGCACGTGGTTTTATTTCAAATATTGCATCTACTCACAATTCTACAAGGAATAATTTGTTACTTAACTGCAAATCTCAGGAGAATCTTCTCAATCAGAAGCCATCCTTCAATTTTCAAACTTGGTCTGAATATGAGTATGCATTGTTTGGATATCGGTATCTCAAAGGAACTTAAAGGTCAAAGGTGCAAAAATGCAAAACATAAAAGTTTATAGATGAACTAAAAAGTCAGTATTCTTTGTTTAGAGTATTAATTATGGGAAAAATACAATTTTTGTACACTAACCTAGATTGTTTTGTAGGAATTTATCATCAAATAATATAAATATAATAACAATTATCCTAGAACATGCTTTAATCCTAGGAAAGGAAAATGAACATCGCGCTAGATTATAGATTATAAGGTTTATAAAGAATACTTCATTGAGATTGTGCCTAGATGTGGAATACCTTATCATCAATCTCCGGACTTCATCTCCATGAATGTTGACATGAACACGATCTGGATCATGAACACGTCCTCGATCACGAATGGGGTCGGTTTTATGGCCTTCCTCTAAATCGCCTTATTCCTCATATGGGACCGTCATTCTCAATTCCGATGGGGGAGAAAAGAGAACTGTTTTTGATTTACTATATTGGGGACCTTAACCAATAGGGTCTTTATATACTATTAGGGTAGGCCACCCATTATCACATAACCCTAATAAGGTATCTATTAAATCAGTCCATATCAATTTACGTAGCCACCCATTATCACATAACCCTATATCCATTAAATCAGTCCATATCAATTTACGTAGCCGCTCATGGACTCTACTTTATTTAGATCACTGAATTGAGTCTATTAATTAATTGAATAGCTAATATAATTGTATATAATATGTTGTCCACAATTTTTATAGATAGAAATTAAATATTTTCTAATATGCTTTCCATTAAATTAATCTACTAAATATTGCAATTTGGTATAGAAACTTTGAAGTTTTTGTCAATTTCATTCAACTTTATTTTTTTGCTGATGTTGCCAATTATCAATTTTTATTTTTTATTTTTTTATATCATATCGAATCTCTCGACTCTTTTATTTCCCAAGCAATAAATTAGATAAAACTCAAATAAACGTTATACAACCGAACGATCAAATGATCAAAAGGGCTCCAACCTAAACTAATTGTACATAGAAGAAGCTCCATGGGGAAGTAACCAGTACAACCCAATAGAAGAAGCTCCATGGGGAAGCAACCTAAACTGCAAATGACAAAACACCTACAACAAGAGCAACAAGAGAAAATACCCAAACTACAACAAGGATATACTAACTACAAGGTAACTGCTAGCCCGCGTCAAAAGCAAAAGAACAACATAGAAGGAGAGATTGAGTTAAAAATGTGAGACCGTTGATCAGCCATGGATGGACAGAATCCCTGCTTCTCTTGAAGAAGAGTGACCAGTGCGACATCTTTGAGGTAGCAAGTGAACTCTCTCGACTCAATCTATCCAAATGTCTTTTTGGTTTTGTCATACNTTATCAAACTATATTTTTTTAATTATAATAGTTAAACAAATGTATATAATTTTAGAATTTGGATTTCAAACCATTTTTTTTTTAACTTCATATGTAATTTTAGAATTTAGATAATAAATTATTTTATTTTTATTAGATTGACAACATACCAATTAAATTTTAAACAAAGATCATTTAAAAAAAAAATAATATCATTACTTCATCTTCGAAATGAATAATATGTAAATATTGGAGAGAAAATTTGAGAAATAAATTAATATGATTGATTTAAGTGAAGATATGTAGTAGAAAAAAAAAATGAAATAAAATGAAAAGTATTACGTAACTATGAAAGAAAAATATGGAATGAAATAAATAATGATTATTTTAAGAAAAGAAAATATTTAATGTATTATGAAAATAACCATAGTAAAGGACATGACATGACACCCGAGCCTAATTATGTATCAATCTAAAGCATAAAAATATGACAAATAAGGTCCCGAAGCATGCAAGTCTCCTACTTTTTCAACACATTTAAAAATTATATATAAAAAATTATAAAAATTATATATAAAAAATTATATATAAGGGGAATTTTTGGAGATCCAACCGCCAATGTTTTTAAAACTTACTCAAAATGATTATTTCCTAGATGATTGAGAATCTAATATTGAAGTTTCAGCTTATTGGTAGTGTACGATTAGTTGTCGTCGACTTTGACTGTCAATTTACGGTCGACCCAGTATTTAAAATTAGTGAATGACCTCTTGTTTTTTGGTTTGTCTTTTCCTTGTCTATACAAAACTATTCAATTTATTTTAGATTTGTGTTTGTTATCAGCGAGGAATTTAATTTAAAAATTCAATCGTTTTTTGGATGAAGATGATAAAAATAATAATAATAATAATAATAATAATAATAATAATAATAATAATAATAATAATAATAATAATATAATAAATTGCAAAGTCAAAGAGTTGGCGAACAAAAATGGAAGAAATAAAGTTATTGAACTAAAATTACATTTTTTTTTCGACCTACCAATAAAAAATGTTATGGAACAAAAAATACACAAAAGCGAGTAGAAAAGAAAAAGAAAAGACTCCTATAGGTTATTGTGAACAAAATAGCAAACAGAAAAGGATTCTTAATCACATGCACTGATGGACATGCAGATAACATTAGTGCATGGACATGTGAAAAAACTGAAAAAGAGAGAGACAAAGGATATTGGCAGATTTTTTATTTTTTTTTATTTTTTTTTAATTTTTAGTTAATTTAAGAATGTTGAAACAGAGGATATTGATAGTAAAAAATTATTTAATTTAGGAATGGTAAGACACTGCATCTAATCAATGTTGTGCTTGAAATGTCTTTCCTTTAGACCATTATTCAACAAATCAATGAATTATGTGATCAGTAGCACGTAACTGTTTTGTGTATATGATAAATGATGATGATAATGACTGTCCTTTTCAGTGCACCACCAGTGGACTTGATAAAAGGGACAAGTATCAATAAATATATTACACATTGAAAAGAAGATGAGGAATGATTAAAATTATGCATCAGTTTGATTAAATTTTTAAACATATTTATCTATAAATAAAATTGATGAAATTTTAATTTATTGAAAAAGTATGACTAACTACTTATTAGAAAGGTTAGCAGTAACTTTACTTATATATATTTTTATTTACACATATGTGTGTATAAATATCTAAGATGGGAGAATAATTATATAAATATCTAAGAAAAGTATGCTCCATTTTTATTGAGAGAAATGTTAATTATATATTTTGACCACATTATTCATTCAATAGTCAATTGCATACTCCACTAGAAACAACTTTTTTGGCATTGGGGTTTAACAACAATAATGTCTTTTCACTACCAACAAAATTTTCATTGCTTCAAACACTACTTTTTTTTTTTTTTTTTC